ATGTTTTCCCCAGGAACCATAACAGGTAGCAATATGGAATTCTCTTTCTGATTTTGTAAAAGTGTCTTGGTCCAACATGGTGCTCCTCTATTTAGAGGGCGGCGAAAAAAATGGCGTCTGAGAGTTTTCCTTATCGAAAAAAAAATCCAATTGCAATTCTTCAAGGAGGCTTGCAGCTTAATTATTTTTTGTCGCATTTTATATATGGGTACATTTGCATATCTACCGCTTCGTAAGGATAGTAAGCGCGTGCGTTACTAGCTAAAGCACAGCGGCGAATCTTATTGCTTCGGTGGTTTCCAATGAATAAAGAATACCAGGAAGGAGCATTCATCAAGTTGTATACGAGAGAGAGTGCGACGGAAGTCGGCCATTTGCAAAAGCCACTTATGAGTCATTTTTGTTGTGGCTGTTGCAGTGACATAAAAAGAATGGTTAGTTGTTGTGCTTGTGGTTGCTCCAAAACAGAAAAAAATAACACTTTGGGAATTACATTTCATGTGTAAGTGATACAAAATTATTTTTATATAGTACATGTAAATTTACAAATTTTTTATCGGAATGTAGTTTGAGGTTAGTTAAACAAAAGTCATAGGCGGAGTAGACACATGGGGGTTTAGATTGTTTTCGTGTAAAATTCTTTATAATTGTATCCTTCTACAACTGTAAGGTAGGTACGCCACTGGAACAGGAAACTACTGTCCGCCATTTGCAAAAGCCATCGCGGTCGCACGTATATTGTTGATAATCTCCTTCCTGGTATTCTTTATTCATTGGTGGATTCATTTTGGCAGAGACAAAAATGCAGAATAAACAAAAAATGCGGGTCTGCTATTGGTTTAAGAGACGCTGCCGCAAAATGTATGTTGGGCCCGTTTCGGGTTTTCTACACGGCAATATAAATAGCGAAACACAAAAACAAAAGGGGGAGATGTGTAGCGACTGTGAAAGCGCACACCTCGGCCGAGCGAATGGCTGGAAGAACAAACTGACTTAAAAAATAAATAATTAGCTGTCGAGTATCTCCAGTATAAAGGTGCGGGTAAGCAAACGTTCGTTGTGGAAAGCGCAGCTTTTGTGTTGAAGTTATAAATAATATGAGACAGTTAACAAAATGGCGTGTTAAGCTATGAAAAAGGAGCAATCGGTCCATATCTCATGAAGGATCTGCAATTACCAAAAAGCGCTGACCTTGACCTAGGGAATTGTACGTCTCTATGTCAACAGATCAGTAAATAATTGAACGAATTTAGAAGAGCCCTGGACGCGACCTCTCCCCCTCACTTTAAAACAAATAAAATAAAATGGAACTGCTGGATTGTTTTGCACATCACATATATTGGTGACAGATAATTAAATGAAACGTTCCCAGCAAATATGAGCAATAAATCTTAAATGAGTGTATATAGTGCACTTGTTTTAAATAGCTTCAAAGTTGATGCTTTTCTTAGTCCAGGCCTTCTAGCAAACCGCCCTTTACTACATAATTTAATTATAATAGCCATTTACGTAATAACATTTTTGATGAAGTGGAAACTAATTAACTAATTGCGGATTGAAAGTACTGCTTTTAACGACTAAATCGTCCAAACTAGCCATTCTTCATATTATTATAACCCTCTTTACGATCCTTCGTATTACTAAAACATAATTAAAGTTGGCGTACGTTAGATACATCCGGTTAAAAGCCAATCCCGTGTCTTCTGGTTTCATCTTAAAATGAGCACAGGATGTCTCTGTCTTAAATTTGCGCGAGTGTCTTTCTATATTACGAAATGCAAATGAAAAACACACATAAATGAACTTACTCTTGCGCGAAACCAAAAAACAGCAATATTTATACAGGGTGGTGCATTCAATACGAAACAAAGCTACTATCTGATATTTAAAGGTGGATATTCGACTCCTTACAATCATGCCAGGTAGTCATATTAAGTCCCTTCTCGAACGTTCTTTAAAATCACCATCTTCTTTCATTTTAATTGCGCCACAGAAATCACAAAGAAAGAACGGGGTTTTGAAAATTCGGTCCTTTCGTTAGTAGGATTCCCAAAGAAACGAGAGCAAAAAAGGGGGTCTCTCATGGGAGGCGATAAACGAAAGAATTATAAAACTCAATATACTTAGACTTGTTCGAAACAAGGGTAACCATTATAGGTATACAGTGTGATTGATTTTATTTCTTTTATTATTTATTTTATATTTTATATTTTATTATAAAAAGTGTAAAAAACAAAAATATTCACCTTTCAAATTCTGATAAAAGTACATATTAAAAAAAAGTGATATAAAAACAAAAGAGCATCAGAAAACAAAATAATTTTTTTTAATCGAACGGTTATTTTTTACTGCAATATTCTTAAAGAGCTTGAAAATCTCTTTACAATGATATTAAATAGGTTATAATTACTTTAGAAATTAAAGTTAAAGTACTGGTTTTAAAACCAATCGCAGTAAGTGTGGAAATTTCGTCTTATATTTTTTTTACCATTTTTCAAAATTTTGAAATGACGTGTACCGTCAGCCATTTTTGTTGGTTGGCATCGACTGTTTTAGTTACAATGGATACAATATAAACAAAACAAAATCTCCATGAATCCATGGCCTATTATTTAAAGAAGTAAAAAATGAGGTTTTTATTGTTCCATCGATAAAATGAAAAAAAATAGGTTGTGATACATCAATGTAATCAGGAAAAGAAATTGACGCTAAGATATACAGGGTGTTGCATTACTAAATACCAACTTTGGGTCAAACCTCAGAAACTTTTCGTTTTCACTCTGTATCTCAGAAACAAACGTAGCTAGATTGGTTCTGCTTGTGGTATTATACGTTTCACAAAACCGCAAGTCTCCATTTTTAAAAACAGCTGAGATACACTGCAGTCTCAACCAAAATAGGACACACGGTACAATTAAATGTTATAATTTTCAAAAATCGTGATGGGCCGCAAGTTGTAGGAACGGAGGGTCGCGTGTTTGGCATGTCTGTTGTAAAGCGATCAAAAAGCGCATTTCTTCAGTTTTAAGTTCATAATCCTACATTTTGGAATAAGGGTTTAACAAATTTTAGAATTTGGAGAAAGGCACAAGGATTGATTCAGAACTTTTTAAATTAAATTTCAGGAGCAAAATTGTGTGTTTGAAGTAAAATTTTATTTGATTTAATTACAAAATTAAAAAAATTTTGCAACGAAGGTCATATACAATTTCACACCTTCAAGTGGAACAGAAGAATTTGTGTTATGGGAAAGAGGTTCGTGGTTTGAATTGAAATTGATAGAATTGAATAATAAAACATTTTAAGAAAACTTTAAAACTTCTCGAATTTTAAGAAAATTTTTAAGTGTTGCAATAAGCACTCGAATCTTTAAGAATGAATTTATTCATAAAAATTCAGAATTTTATAAAAAGAGTTCTAAGGAATATTTTATAACTTGAATTCGTTTACATGTAGTTGAATACTATAATCGGACATGTTGGAATATTTTAAGACAATTTAGTTGATTGAGGTGAAATAAATGTCGAAATATTAGCAGAACGCGGAACTTTAAGAATTGATCTAATTAAAAAATTCTGAATTCTTTAAAATTTTTAAGTTCTTTGTTTAAAAATAAAGAAAATTTAGGAATTTAAGAATGTGAGTAGAATAAATTTTAAAATTTTTCTAATTTTGGAAAATTGCCCTATTTACAAAATTTAGAATTTTTTAAAAAGAATTTCACGGAAATTGAAATGGAAAATTTGTATATCATGCGACAAAATTCCTTTGCTTTAGAAAAGACACGCGTGCTTTAAAAATCATTTAAGAAGATTACAATGCATTTCGTATTGTGGGCTGTTTTCGCTTTTTCTTGAAGCTGTAGAAACAATCTTTTGGGATCAAAATCTAGTAACGGGCTTGTAGTAGCTCATGCTAATGAGATAAATAAATTACATAGGTAGAGGTACCATTCGTTTAAATTCAAAAAGAAAATATGCAGGGACTTTTTCGCAATTTTGCCAAATATGATCTTAAAGCTTGGAAGGAAATTTTTAAACTCCTGGAAGTAGATTGATATCAACTCAGCCCTGACGATAATTGAGAGGCAAGAAACAAAAAACTTAGAAAGATCCGACTCTAAATTAAATTTCCATAATCAGAGCAGACAAAACCGACGGAATCCCCTATTTTCAGTAACACAGAAATGACCTGCAAATGCAGATGGTGTCCGAATACTTTCAATGGAATTCGTATCGTTTCACCTCTTTTTTCATTTTCATAAACTAGAAGCACCGATTACCGTTAATCGACTTGTAATTTACATAGTTTCGCAATTGGGAGAAATTCGCAAAAAAACTCAGAAGAAATCCGCGGAATTATTGAAAAACTGCGCGAGAACCTCATGGGAAAATCACTCGGATGGTTTGTGGACCGTCGTATTTATAAACAAAATGCAAATTTGTTCAATTTCCATAAGATGTTAATACGCAATTCTGAATATGTGAATGAGCTAGGAGATTAAAATAAAAAGAATGAAAGTAATCCAAGAAGAAATGAGGATGCACTTCTTATAAAACCATCAAACTTCCACTGCACGTAGAGTTTTTTGGTAAAATAAGGTCAATTTGCGTACGTTTATGGGTTTTCGAGGCCAATTTTGGGATTTACAGCTATCGATTTCGTTTCTTGCGAATCACTACCGAAACACTTTGTTTCGCGAACACCACCGCCCTTTTCGATAAATTAACAAAGACCGTAAATTAAGATTCCTAACGGAATAAAAAGCAAAAGTAGAAAAGTATTTTAACCTACATTTTCTGTAAACGTAAAAGGAAAATTTAGATAAATTACATGTAATTTGATTTAAGCAGTTATAAGTAGACGTTTAAAATAATTTAAAGCGGCAATTTTCGGGGCGATTACGCCAGATAGCTACGCTGCCCAGTAATTAGCCTAACGCCCTTCTTCCGATAAAAAAACCCGATGAATATTAAACGAAAATAAAAAAAAGTACTAACCGTCTATTATTAGGATCCGATCGTAGATCTAAAAATATATCGAACGAAGCGACCTTGCCCGGCCTTGCACCAGAAGCACTTAACACCTTCTCGAAGAAGTCAACAACTTGATATACAAACTGGGGAACATAAACACCGTTCTTGGTAACACACGGTACAAGAAAAGTTACCGTCAATCTCATACGCACTTCTTTATAAGATGCGATCGTCTTATAGCGGGGGAAATCCATGAAAGTTATCACCGTAAAAACGCGCCATACCTACCGAGATGATAAGAAAAAAAAAGCATTTCTTTTGTTGGCTATTAGTGGGGGCGTTATAAATTATTTTTCACTCTAATTCCCTGTGAATACAATAATTACAAGTAATTATATTGAATTAGTAATGCAGGAGTTTTACGATCATGATCCACTTGGTTTTATTTATCGCCTCAATTACCTACGGTGGAGATTTTAATTATACGCCGCGACAGAAGCCAATGTCGCATGCAACTCAAACCGCAAACGCGCTAAGTGATACAAATTTTTTTACCGTAAAATCGGATTTTTCTGCGATTTTTCTGGTAAGAGGCGATTTCTTCGAAGCTGCCATATGAATTAGTCACTCGTCATACACTCAACTGAATGTCAGGTCATGCAAGAAGAAACAATTTTGTTTATCTTCTCTGAAAATTTGCAAATTCTTTCTATAAGATTGTAATAATCAGTTGTTATGAAGTGGTTGAGTTTTCTTACAAAAATTTTGGACGCACTACCTGCGTTTTAAACATACTTTATATTCACAGTTCTTTTTTAATGCAACACCCTATATACTTTTGTGCCATACTTTAACTTCTTTAATGATCTTTTGCGACGAACTTCGGTAGTCCGCGCAAATCGGCAACTGAAAACAAAGGAAAACAAACCCTGAGAAAAAATCAAACGCGTACTTACGAAAATTAAATGGTGCGCGGAAACTCAAATGTAAAGGGTACACGGTGAAAATACGAAAATTGATACGGAAAAAATCTAAATACGGTACGGAGGCAATACATTTACGGAAAAGAGCAGTATGGTACTTACAGACGCAAAAATGGCAAGTCGCGGAAAGGGGACCTCGGATTTTCCAGCCGGGCGGCGTACTCGGATGATAACTTTCAAAAATCAAAACTTCTTTGTCCCCCGTTATCATAATAATCTGAGACCAATCTCAAATATCTTGATAAATTAGCGCGCTTCCAATGATACAAAACACAACCTAATCAGGCGAAGTCTCATTAGCTACCGATATTTATGCTCACTCAAGTGTCCGGGCTGAATTTCCCAAATTCGGTAGTTCAGTATTGCCCATTGTTAACTTGGAATTTTCGGATCAGGGAAATGAAATCATAAAATATTAATTTTCCTTCGCCTTCCAAAGGACGAGAGCTTTCGGAGGCTGCAAGAACAATTAAAATACCACTACGGGAACAATTAGAAAGCGGAACAATTAGATACATACACAACATAATTAAATTGGTCCGGAAGCTACAGTTTTCGTAAATTCCTTCATGTACCCGGTGTTCATTAAAGGCGGTTGAAATCATATACGAAAACGGGCGCTTCGTTATACTTTAACTTTCATTGATACTGCCTTATACCTATTTTCAATGGTTTTCAAAATCTCTTTACTTTCTTGGTTTTGTTGGATTTTTTTTATTTGGCATATCAAGATACGTGCTTTGGATTGTAGCAGGAGTCTATTTTAAGTCTAATTTAAATTTTGTATGTGGGCGAGTGTTTCCCGAATACGGCCCTGACTGTATAAATACGTGTGAATATTTAAGGCGCCGGGAAGTTGAGTGACAGGACGAGATCAGGTAGAATTGAAACGATCTTTATTTGCTTTAAGATATCTTAGCTGCAATAGAATCCATATTAGTTAACTAATGGGGGTTTGACGCGAAACGATCTTGTATAGTCAATAATGAAGAGGAATTCATTCGGTAAAACACACTTCGCATTGATCGGTGATATTCAATGTTATTTGTATTGGTCGATACTAAAAGAAAATTAATTGTAATGTTCATAAACACCATGTATAATAATAACAAAGCGAATAGCAATACGTTAATATAAATTAAATTGTCCCCCAGCTGCACTTCGCACGGACCGGCTACAGAATCCCAACCGATGTTCCGTGGATATTTTCAACTTTCTTGTTTTCTTCTCGAAAATGCTGCGAAAAACCTTCGCCCGCAGCACAACGGTGGCTTGTTGGGGATGATAGTTCGTTCTTGGCTTAATTTCTATTTTCGTGATCCAGGCGTTGGACGGTTTAGCTTCAAAATCAGAGAAAACGACCAGCACAGTTTCGAACGGTCGCTTAACGAATCCCACAATTTTCACTCATATTTGTATGTACCCAAGTAGTATCGATGGATTGTATAAATATCTACTCTGCAAGCTTTTTATTATTCAACATTCGATTACGATAGACGTATTTAACTCGCTCTCCCTGCTACTATTTTAATTACAGGGATCAGCTTCATTTAGCTCATCCCGAATATACACACGTAAAGCAGTATACATATTAATTTACTTTATTTACTTCTGAAATAGAAGCTTATCGTTACGTATCGATATTAAGGTTATGCATTTTTACTACGCTATAAAATTCTCTGTATACTGAAGCCTCGTTACAACATTACGGGTGTCAAGCATTCTAATTGGACGAAAAAATTAGTATTATTGATGGAAAACGTGTTACCTCACGACATGGATGTCAATTAAACAAGTAAACTAATGGGGAATGGGTTGTTGGGAGATAACCGTGAGGCAATTCAGATTAAGCCGCGAGAGAGTGCGCGTTGTACCGTGAGAGCGTTAAGGTTGAGCGGTCCGAAAAGTTAAATCGACCATCTGTAAGTTAGTCTGGGAAATTCAGATTAAGCCGCGGGGCAATTCGCGTCCAGCTGAGAGAAAAATGAGCATCAAACTACTTTAGAAACAAGTACTTTCGTCTCTAAAAAGGGTGAAGAAAACGTGATTTTCCTCTCTAGTGAAGAAAGTAAAAAAACAATTGCTGCGTTAATATTAATAATGACACTTAACATTAAAACACCTGTATCTAGATTGCTATGCGTCAAATTTCATTATTGCATACGATAATTTTTCAATTTTGATTGTTCAAGTTCAATTGACACACTCGCTACGCTCATGTGTCAAACTTTGAACTCGAGTTTAAAACTCCACTTTCTTCTCTAGTTATACAAATAACTATTTCGTCTTGTACCGCGAGAAAATTAGGGTGAGGCGACCAGAAAAAGTTGATTTGATTGATTCGTGTTAATCTCCGAGCAGTTAAATTGACTACCTGTAATTTACCAGGAAATGGAACTCGGATTTTCCAACCATCGCACTCGTGTTCAAAAATAAAACTTCTTTCATTTCTCGGCTTCTGGGACTACTTCCTAAACTCATTTCAATTAAGTACGCTTCATTTGGTACTAGACCCAATCTAATCAGACGCGGTGCTGTAACACATCTGATTAGCTACCGGTATTTATGCTCACTCAAATGGCCTGTAGTCCAGTAATCGCTACGTGTAAGCGAGCGAGCTTGACGCTGAAATTACGCAAAATTGAAATTCCCTCCACTTCCAATCGAAGACAGGTTTCAGATGATGCAAAATATCTCTACGGGAATGGTTACAAACGGCAAATTAGTTACAGTATCTTGATTTAATTATCGGCGACTAAAACGATGCTTCAAATTAAAGCAATTACTTTCACCTGCTATTTCCAATCCCTAGAAAATAAATACAAATTTTACAACGTTGCCATACGTATTTGGGGCGATGGAGCGATCAAAAAATTTTGTTTTGAAATTTTCGATCGATCGCCATTTTGTTATTTGAAAAAATAAAAAACAATAATTGCAAATACAAATGTTTTAGAGAGCTGGAAGATAGGTTTGAAATTTTTTGTTTTTTCAATAGTCATTACAATAAGGGAGTTATGACGATTTTACGAAAAACAAAAGAACGCTAATCACTTCAAACCTCGGCACTAAATCAGAAACTAGAACAAAGAAACGTTGTTTGTTTTAATGAGTTCTAACTGCCGGGTCCGGGTGTAACGACTTAGTATTAGCACCCTGTGTAGATATACACTGTGTCCAAGATAAGGATGGCTATTAAATTAAAGAGTTATTATCATTTATTTATTTATTTATTGTCCCCCTTGCTTTAAAGAAAATCAGAAAATTCCAATTACCTTTGAAGATACCAATTCCACTCTCTACCCCCCCCCCCCTCTTCTCTTGATAAGAGGGCTAAAAGAAGCGCGGTAGTTGCTAGAAAATGGTTCCTTTCCTTGAGACCTTCAATTGGAATACCATGAAAGAATGAATTAATATCCAACCCCCCACCCCCTCCGCCGGCACCGTCACCCACTGATCTCGAAAAAGGGGCGCGCGGGAAAGTTTTAGTTTTTACAAACCAATTTAGTTCGATGAGACCTTTCATTAGTTCATTGGTTGTCGTATGTAAAAATTATGCACGTTTACTTTCAAAAACAGCATCTTAGCAAATGATGCATGGGGGTGGGGGCCCTCTTAAGACAGCGAAATTTGATGGTGATCTGACACACCTTCAAGGTATGGGCTACCTATTGCAAAAAATTCCAGGACTCCAGGACCCCTAGAAGTAGTTCAAAACGGTAGAAGTGGGTCCGGTCGTACGGACGGACGCACAGGCAAAACGCAATCAATAGCACATTTTTTTTTATTCTTAAAAAAATGCGTTAAAAAAACACTTTCTCATTGCTACTTCTTAAGTTCTAAATACACCGTTGGGCGTAGCATTTTTTATTACGGATACAACGATGTACTACACCCAAAAAAAAAACAAAAGTTGGCAACTCTGTTGGTTTCAACAGGATGGGCACCCGCGCACACGCCCTAATCGTTCCAGAATACCTATCGGGCAAATTTTCCATTTCCCACGAGACTTGTCAGTTAGGTATCCTCGCAAGATTAAGGCGTTGTGTGCGGGGGCACCATAAAAAATACTACTCAATACAGTATGTACTTTTTTTATGGGCCATATAAAAAAATAAAGTTGATGATGATTTCTCCGAAACGAAAAGTTGTATTGGAAACCTCTTGTAGAGCGCAAAAAGTAGCAATGGGAAAGTGTTTTTTTTTGTATCTGTT